CATTTGAGGTTCAGACCCCCTTGTCTTTGTAGCCTAGTAAACCATTGAAATGTACTCTCAGATAAAGTTCCTTCACTCCGTCTGGGAAGAGAGAGACCCCATACAATCTGGTGAAGACTTCCTCCCCTGTTGGTGATAGTTGTCATTACCTCCTCCCCATGTTAGCTTGATGACTTTGTTTGCCTTTTAGGTAAATGCACCTTCATTGTCTCTCCCCGATGACCAGACTCGTCAGCCAAGCAAATACCCATTCCATGGTCTATGACAGACTGGGCTTATGCATTGCTTGCCAAACACATATTCAGAACATAATTCTAGCACATGTCCATAACTCTTTGTACACACCCAGTACATACACCACACCAAAATATTCATGATCACGGAGTTGTTAGTTTTCCAATTATATGACACAATTTAGATACAGATGATGACAAAAGTGAGTTAGAGGTAGTAAGTATGTCAAGCCTGACAAGCGCGGCTGATACAGAATAGTGAACCACAACTGGGCCTTTGTGGCCCAGTCTTAAAACCAGAAAGTCTATTGTCTTTATAAGTATTTATGGTGTAGGGTCCTGGAGACCTAGGATTACAAAACAAAGGTTTTTTAAAATGAAATCTCAGAAAGTCTAGCTATTGCAGTTATGAAGACAAGCCTGAAACTGTGGCATGAATGTAACTGATGTGGCAATGACTTCCTGAGTCTTCAGCCAGCCTGAAACAATGCTGTGAACTGCTCTGTTCCTCTCTATAGGACGCTAACTCCAAGACCTGCTTCTCTGGGAAGCTCTCCATTACCATCACCACAGTAGAGGACTCTGTGTGGCAGGACCAAGATGCAGGAACCCTGCCCAATCAAACAGACATTCCCCCAGCAAGTCTTGGGTGGCTCTGCTGCAATCCCTGCCACTCTCCGGCTGGGAGGGCACCCCTGCTGACAGCCCTGATGCTCCTGAGGGGAGAGTGTGCGCCTGCTGTCACTTGTGGGAGGTGAAGGGGGCCCTGTGCTACTGCCCCTGCCTCCCTGGTATGGGAGAAAGGCCCCTCGGCCACTCCAAGTAGTGTGGGGCAGGGCCCTGACTTAGGTCTAGGGCCCTGATCACCTTAATCCGGCCTTGAGGTCACAGCCTGATGCTGAGAACTGCTGAGAGAATGGTGCAGAGACTGTGTTCGCTCTGCGCTAGCTGGAACCCATTCAGGGGTGAGTCCCAGGGAGCTGGTTAAACATCTTTGTTCGGGGGTGAGGGGGGCTAGTCCAATATAGTGCATATTGTGGTAATTTAATCTAGAGATAACATTTTTTAATGTGCCTAAGTGGTTGGGGGAGGTCAAGATTAGTTTTCAAAAGAGATTTAGGGCCCAGTGCACAAAGGGCTGTAGGTGCCTAACTGCCACTTTAAGCACGGAAATCTAAAGTTTAGGTACCTAGAACACTCACTCAGCTGCTGCCTTACCCTGTAGGTGCCTAAATTGTTGCTAGAAGATGTGCATAAAGCTGCCTTAATCCTGACATCAGAGAAAGACTCTATAGCCACTGTAACCACTGGGTTCGAGCACTCACCTAGCACAATCAAGTTCCAATCCCTGCGCCAATGAATGTGTCAGTCTTTTATACAAAGTGACACTGTTTCAACAGCAAGAAAGGCAGACCCATCCCAGAATATCCCAGAGCCTGGTGGGCAGCGCACACACCCAGGAAGTTGGAGATCTGGATTTAAGACCATACTCCAAATAAGGCAGAGTAGGAATTTGAAGCCAGGTCTTCCATATCCTGGGTTAGTGCTCTAACCCTGGGCTCTAGGGTAAAGGAGGGGCTTAGACCCTACTCCTCGCCTCACCCTTTCTGCTGGCTAGTTTAGGCAGGGCTGGCTTTTGTGAATCCCATTCGTAGGTGCATAATTCTCCCCATGTATTGTACAGGGAGCCTGGGCACATAACTCAGGACTGTAGATTCCACTAGGGGGGCAAGGCACCTAAATGTTAGTCATTGCAACGCTGACTCTAAGTCCCCTTTGTGGGCCCAGCCCTTACGTCGCATTAAAACTCAATGGGAATTGGACTCCTAAGTCCTTTCTGAAAACTGGACTTTGGCACTATTGGCCATTTTACCCTTGAAGTCATAATAGCATGGATAACTGGCAGGCTCTAGAGTCAACAGAAATGCAGTCTCATTTGATTAGACATAAAGGGGAGGCGGAGGGAGGAAATGGCACTTTTGGCCACCAAGGCCAAATAAGCACTCCCCAATTGTGATGAAGTGTGGGCACATAGTTTTAGTAATCCTAGCAAGCAATACTCTCCACGCTTCCAAGATGCTTTCCCCAACCTGCCCACCTCATCTCCATCTGTTTAATTTCAACCCGATGCCTTTCATGGAGGTCCCAGGCTCAGCTAAAAAAGGAAAAGCAGACAAACAAACCAGGTGGGCTCGATGGCAGAGACATAGGCCTGGATCCTGATGGTAAATCCCAATTGGCCGGGTATGGTCACTTAGAGCCGTGCTGGGCAATCTGCGGCCTGCACGCAGCCTGTGAGGGTAACCCACTGGTGGGCCGCCAGGCAGTTTGTTTACATTTGCATGGTTCTCTAGGGCTTGGCCCGTTGCTCTGGCAGTAACATTGTTTTCACTGCATTTGTGCCTCTAAGTCAGTGGTGGGCAACCTGCAGCCCATCAGGGTAATCCGCCGGCAGGCTGTCAGACAGTTTGTTTACATTTGCACGGAATGGCAAACCGCGGCCACTGGGAGCTGCAGGTGGACGTGCAAATATAAACAAACTGTCTGACAGCCTGCAGGCGGATTACCCTGATGGGCTGCAGGTTGCCCACCACTGACTTAGAGGCACAAATGCAGTGAAAACAATGTTACTGCCAGAGCAATGGGCCAAGCCCTAGAGAACCTCTGCTAGGAGATGGCACACTATGCAGTAGAGTGCTATGGCAGCACTGTACTTTAGAGTATAGAAGGGGAAAGTGGGTAAGTGTTGCCACTTTGGATCCATGTGAGACATTGTTTGGAGGAAGTGGGGGTGGGGGCTGCCTCTGCTACTCCCATTATATCCTGTGTCTGGACTGGCCACATGCCTGGTATCCCAGTCTGGAGTGGAGGAGTCCATCCCGGACCCAGTTAATAATAGAGAACATGTTCTTTTACTGTCACTCTACTTGGGCTGAGCACTGGCTATGGCTTATTTCCACTGCTATAAATCTTTTCTGTTATGAGGAAAATAAGTTTTAGAGCACAGGCAAAATATGGAATCGCATAGTATTGTCTAATGAGATTATGTTTTCTGGAAATTTTTAAGTTGAACTTTAACATGAGAGTGGCAGGATTCATTCCAGTCATTCTGTGGTTTAGCATTGACATCATATTATACAAAACAGAAGATCAGTATTTGCTGAAGACAGCTACCTGTGGAATATATGTCCTTTGGAAGCAACCTGATGGTTACTACTTATTGAGAACTGCAAGCAGTAGATTAATTCCTAACTTTTTTTAAAGACTTCTAATCATGTTATAGTTTCTTCCAGCTGAATCAATATCAGTACGGAATTAGTACATTAGCCAATCAGATAATTAAAAACAAACACACACAAAACTGTAACATGAACTGTTTTAAGAAAGTAAAGTCACCACAACTAACAGAAATTTTTTTTAACAAAAAATCTAGCCCAAAGCAAGGACTGTAGTGGAACCCTGATAAACTGCAGTTGAATAGGATAATAATGAGACCTAAAATAACCGTTTCTCTCTGCAGCATTTGTGTAGTATCTTTATTAGCTATTTTGTGACCCAGTCCTGCTAAAACCATACCCTCCCACACCCATTCATCATAAGTAGTGATCAGATGCTTGAGAATATGGCAGGAACTCTACTTTGTCCTCAGTCCTGGACATACTTTAACTTCGCCCATGAATAGGCCCCCTGAAAATCAGTGGACAGCTCATATGCATAAGCGTTTGGAGGACCAGAGCCTTAGAATTTTCAGGGAGTCCTCTAAAAGGTCTTAACAAGATCTGGAAAAAATTTTTAAAGGGTCCAGGGCTGTATATCGCTATTAAATTCTTCCTTGACTGATACTTAACCCAGGAAAGCCATTTATGGCAGCCATTTGCCTTTACCAGGAGCCTAATTAATGGAACAAACTTCCATGCAGAGGGGGCCCATAATAGCCAAAACTTTTTTAAATGGTAAGGGAAGCAGTAATCATTTTTATAAACACAAAAAGTATATAAGGAAGGAATCCCCATCCATTGTGCTACCATAATCACAAAAATAAGTTGTTTTAGCTCATAGCTGTGAGTTAACGCCTCATTGCTACAAAGCAACATATGGAAAATGTATGATATTTTGAAGAACCTACTTGCCGGAGCTTTCCCTTTCCTGCTTGGATGTAGAATTGTCATGAAAAGTTTGGTTTCACTTGGTTTTATATATTTTATAGGCTTCCAGTGTAGTGTGTCTTTTCTGCTGAATAGATCAGCCTCCCCTAGATCCATAACCAATCTTCTTATGTGGCCAGATTTTCAAAAGATTCCATGCAGCCTCAGCTTCAGATGATACCAGGAGAACTGCAATTGCTCAGCACCTTCACAAATCAGGCCAGTACATGACTGTGTAGCCCAAAAGGCCAGAAATATTTGCTGCTGAGTAATTTAAAAACATCAGTTAAAGCTAGGAAGATTGGATATCGAAGTAAAAAGTTTTCTCCTAAAAATCACATTCTATCAACTGTCATAAAGAAACACAGTCTATTGTCCAGAAATAATATTTATTCATCAACAATAAAACACAGAATAGAAAAAGCCTTATAAATAAAACTATATATATGCTGTATTTTTATTCAGTACTCCACAAAAAAACACTACAGACAGTAACAAAATAATTGAATTAATTTAAAAAACTTCAAATATGATAGCACTGTTCATTTATCATGTTTTATCAACAATGCAATGGTCATTTGTTTACATATTACAATTTTACTAAAATTCGTAACCCTGCTCCTTAAAACAATTGAACCAATTTGTTACTTGATCCAAGATTTATAACATATATGTATATCCATAAACAATAACAGCTCTGAGAAAGTTATGCAGACTGTTCAATGGTAACTGCAAGTTGTTTGGGGGGGAAATCACAAATGAACTGGGGTAAAAATCAAAACATTGCAGAAAAATTATATTTGGGTAACAATTACATATTTTCCATTGCCCTTTTAGTAATGTGATCTCTTCCTTTGTCTGATTGCTCCTGGTTTAGGTACTCTAGCACCTTCACTAGCATATCTTCATCCAGATACTGCCTGTTTTGTGTGTCGTCATTCTCCCGGGCCATGGACAGCCTTTTGCTGAGCGAGGCTAGTTTATCAGATTCTTGTGGTCCCAGCTGATTTAGATGTTCTTTGATTGCTTGCTCAAGCTGGTCGTCTTCCTGTTGATCATTTTCAGATGAAACTGGGACTGGAACACGTTTCAGCTGGTTTGTATTGATAACTTCAGGGTATTTTGCCAACATATTTGCCAAGTAATCTGCTAGTTCTTCATCTTTTTCATTTAGTTTTTCGTATTCCATTTGTCGTCTTTCCAAATCATTAATCCAAGCAGTTTTAGGAAGTTGATATCCTTTAGGTCTTCTGGGAATGTAGGAAAGTCTTGGCAAACTGTTCTCTTCATTAAGCTGATTTACAAAGTAGGAGGTTTTCTGATTAGCTAAATTATCAGTCCCTAAAAGATTGACAATATCTTCAATATTGAGGTCTTCAGGTAGATTATCTGGCATAACATTAATTGGCTGCTTCATGTAACCATTTTTAGGGTTCATTTTATTTTTAAATCTATCTATGTGGTCTAGATTTGTTTCAGAGATGTCATCCTCAAGATCTTCTGGGAGCTCTGGTTCTTGCTCTGTCTCCACCCTTTCACTCTGCTGCTGCTTTTCTCCAGTTTTCAACATGTCTAGTAAATCCTCTGGTGGGATTTGTAAATTCCTTGAGATTTCTATTAGTTGAGAGATAGACTGAGGATCAAGTTTTTCCAAAAATGTACCTGCCCTTTTTTCTTCATGTCCAGTCCTTAACCTGCCATTTCCAATATTGCTCATCAGCCTCTTCAGATAATAATTCATTAGCTTTGTAATGTCATCTGACATTTGATCTTTACTGTCTCTCCCCATTTCATCCTCCAGGAAGCCTTGTTTCCCTGATCTCTTCATTTCATCATCAATCACTTCTTCATTTTTATCAATTTCCTCTTTATGATCTTTTATCTCTTCTTGCGTTTGGCTTTCCACTTTTTCCTCTATTGGATTCCAGTCTTCTCCTCCCACTACATCTTCATAAGCAATATTATTCACTTTATATACATCATCTTCATCTTCTGTGTACAATTTCTGATCCTCATCCAGCCTCTCTTTTTTGTGATTATTTGGTCCTGTCATCTTCCCCAGCTCCTGAAAGACAGACTCCAAAGTAGCAAGGCTTTGGGGTGTATATTGTTCTTCTACTATTTCATTGGTGCGCTTGAAAGGACTGTCTCTTGAACTTTCTTCATCATGTACATGTGGCATTTTGACATATTTGTGTCGTCTCTCAGGCCACTTATAAGCCTCATAATCATCACTCACGCCAGCTGGAAAGTTATCTGAACTCATAGTATATGGTTTATTTTCTTTTGATCCAGCCTTTGACTCTTTTTCTGTTTGCCTCAAGGCTTCCAACATTGACCTAACCCATTGTGACTCATCTTCAGTCAAAGAATCTCTTATATTATCTGCTAGGTGGCTCTGATCTTTGCTTTCTTTCTGCTGCAGAAGAAATGGGGCACCTTGATAGAAATTGTAATCTGGGCCATTTTCTCCCTTGTTAGCTTGTTTGCGGAGATTTTCGATATATTCCAAGGCTTTGATCATATCTGGGCTTGGGAGCCTTTGTAAATTTTTCACTAAGTAGTCTGGGTTTTTCTGAAGCAGCTGATAAGGTTCGATTGAAGCTGCATCAACACAACAGATTAGAACAAAGAAAAGGGTGAGAGAGGAGGCTGCTCCAAGCCAGCAGGTTTTAGCATCTGCCATGTTAGAAATCTTTCCTTAAAATAAAGAAAAGGGACAGTTAACATACAGAAATAGTTAGTAAAGTGCAAAGCAAAAGCAAATTTGAGATTGCTGCTTTGAACTGGAACTCATGGTATTTATGTTTTTATTAATTATGAAAAGCAAATAGAATTCCCATATGATCCCTTTATGGCAACCCTAGATTTATTGTGAGTTTATCTGGAAGTCTTTCAGGTCATTCCTTTGATAAGGATACTGGAACCTATTGGTTTGAAATGATAAAACCATTTTCATACTATGGCAGGTAAAAGCTCCTAATAAAATTAATTTATATATAAAGGAGCTTGATTTTCCAGTCTAAACAGAAAACCTAAATCCTACATAATTCATAAAATACACATTTATGCATCTACAGGGGTCAGCAACCTTTCAGAAGTGGTATACCGAGTCTTCATTTATTCACTCTAATTTAAGATTTTGCGTGCCAGTAATACATTTTAACGTTTTTACAAGGTCTCTTTCTATAAGTCTTTAATATATAACTAAACTATTGTTGTATGTAAAGTAAATAAGGTTTTTAAACTGTTTAAGAAGCTTCATTTAAAATTAAATTAAAATGCAGAGCCCCCCGGACTGGTGGCCAGGACCCGGGCAGTGTGAGTGCCAATGAAAATTAGCTCACGTGCCGCCTTCGGCACGCGTGCCATAGGTTGCATACCGCTGATCTAGATACTGATTTGAGCATCAGCATTTGAAAATTTGGCCTAAAATATTAATACAAGCTCAGTGATAAACTGTACATAGAATCCTGTTGCCCAGTTGTCCAGTCTGCTACACTGACTCCACTGAATGGTTTTATTCCAGGCTAACGCCAATGTGATAGAGTGGAGAATCTGGCCAATAAAATCATGAGGTGATTTATATGTTTACTAGTATGAATATTTTAAAAATATTAAATTATTCCCTTATGCAATGAGGAAAGCTAAGACCCTTTGTGGGTTAATCTATTCTGTCCCTTAAGGGTATCATATGTTGATGTCATCCTAAATTGTTGTTTTTAAATGGACTTGGTCAGGCCCAGACTGAGTGGCAATTTCTTCTGTGGTGGCTAAACAGTCTTTCACTTTTGCTTTGAAATAAAAATGGGTGTTTTGTCATTCACTTCAAGCAAGTAGGATGGATACACAGGTAGAATCTTGGCATTACGGGCCTAATTCTCTGATGGGTGAAAGCTCCATGAGCTAGTGGAGGTGCACGGCACCAGAGAATTTTGCTCTATAAAAAAACAGAAGTAAAATAAGTGAAAATATTATACCCATCACATATGAGTAACACAGTCATGCCATTGCAACATATGAAAATATTTCTATAAAAGGCCCAATCCTTCAAGGTGCTGAGGGTTCTCAGCACCAACTGAGGTTAAAGACTCCACTCCCAGGAGATACTTAGCACCTCACAGGACTTGGCTATAACAAATACTAGCCTATTTTACCCAATTCAATTATATTATTCCATCCGTCATGAATAAAGTACAGTAAATGAGAAAAATGGTGAGGATAGAAAAAAACACTGAGCTTAATTGACTTATTTTGTTTCATTCACTTTTCCCATGAGCCTATGGAAAACATCCTGGTAAGATGTTAGTGATTCATACTAGTAGAAGGACCTACATAGACTAGAATTTACCCATGGCTGTAACAGTAGATATGTTCTCTTCAGTTCACACATAGGATTTCCATTCCGATGATTCTTTATTGTAGTTTAACATGAAATAATTTGACAAAATAAAGTAGCCTCAGTTACCCACAATTGCTTTTTTCCCTCCATGCCTGCAGCAAATTATCATTGTGAATATCAAATATTTTATCCAATCAAGTATTAATACTCCAGAATGGATTATTTCAGAGCAATCAATAACACCATCTCTTTTTATACTTAAACAAAAGCAAGAGAACCGTGTACCTTCTGTTATGGAAAAGGCTTTAGCTTTGAAAGGGATAAAATCGGTCCAAAAAACCCCACAAAACCCTGCACAGTTACAATTTTTATGTTGATTAGAATCTATAGTTGCAATAGAATGAAGCTAATGTTTTTCAATGGAGAAGTTGGTCACTGATTAATCTTTAGTTTATTAATAAATAAAATACTATGCATTTTCAGTTGCTGAAAAATTATTTCATAATAATAGATCTAGATCTTCCAGGTAAAACAGTCCACTAAAATCCTCCCTCTGATGAAGATGATTAATTCAGCCTCTGACAGTACGTGCTATTTATATAGTATTATATCCTCTGTAAAACTTAGGAAAATCTAAGTAAAATCATGAAAGAGAAACACAGGCAAAGTTTAGGCTGGCATTCTAGTAGCATTTTATTTAAAAAATATTTCATTTTGAGAGATGATATCTTATGAATTCCTTTCTGAATATTTCATATGCACTTCTGTCTGGATCAGTTTCACTTCCAATTTATTGGTAGATGATATTTGAAATATTTGAAAATAACAGTTGGATATAATTTGTTTTAAAACCTCTGAAACTAGATTACAAAAATCAGTTCATTAACTGTAATACCTTATTTAGGGAAAATAGGCTCCTCCCCAACCCTAATATGAGAAAAATAGAGTACGTTTTTCATGACATCAAATCTATAAAAAACATTCTGTATTATTCTTTTTAAAGCACATTATGATAAAACAGCTGTTTTCCCAACAGCTGTAGAATTGTGGTGCTAGTCTGTATTGTGCAATCTGTCCTGTTAGCACCTAACAAAGAGAGAAGTCATCTCTTACCCAGACTCTTATCCATCAAATTAAGTAGTCACCATTTGTAAAATGAGGAGATTGAGTTCTCAGTGTAATGTGTACTGTCAAAGGAAATGCAGAGTGACAGAGGGTCTTCTGCAAAGAGGCAAACAACCAAAAACAAAATTCCCTTTCTGGGGTGTTTCCATGGCAGCATATTTCCCCTTGAGCCCTTTCCTATAGATTCACATGGTGCTCTGATGGGAATATAATATTTCCAATTAAAATTTTGCATGAAACCTCATAAGCTTTCCTATGGAACTCGCACAGCATTTGTAATGCTCTGTGAGCTACAGCAGGAATCCCTATGGGAGTTGTCCGTAAGGAAAATGTGAAAATGCAACACACCCTCTTCATCATTTGTTTGCTTTTTGAGCAATTAAAAATGGTTGCATTCAATTAGCTTTCTTTAAAGTTTGTCTTATTGCTAATATACAAATTAGGGTTCATATTAAGATTAATTTTAGTATTTTGTAAATCAAGTGGTTTCTGAATTGGCATACTTGATTGTTTAGATGAGTGGAAGATTAATTGAACTGTACATGTATCCAAGGCAACCTCTTATTTTACACGATTATTTTAAACATGTCAGTGAACCATTGAGAGTGAATGAAATCACAAAGAGAAACATTACATGATGTTTGATAGCTTCAGCGAACAAATGAAGCTGATGTCAAATTGTAATCACTAGCTGTAGAACCATTAACTTTTCCCACTTATTCAGTATTTTAATTATGTCCTTTTAATTATTTTTAAATCCATATCTAAATCATAGGTAAGAAATAAAAAAGAGAAAGATTCACCCATCTGGAAAACACTATTTCTATGCTAAATGAAGTGCATCAGGTTGTTATGGTCCCTAATTGTGCTGGTTTCCTAGTGTAGAGTGGAATGGGAAAAGCTCTGAACAAACAACTTTACATTCAGTCTTTGAAAGTACAAAAAAAAAAGCTCCCTTACCTGTGTGACTTAGATAGCAGAGCGAACCCAAAGCATGATCTTCCTTGTCTTTTTGCTGCGAGTTTGTGGACTGTTTTCAGCACTAGGACAGCTCCCTCTGCTTATACTGTACATCACCTGACTCTGCACTGCCACATTGACGTCACCTCACCCAGTCACAAACCACAAGCACGGCGGAGCTGTTGAGAGAATGCTGGAGAAAAATAAGTTTGGGCTATTTTTGAGATAATTCTTCTGTACAATTATGCCCTCTGTCTGCCTCTGGAGAACACTACAGATTTCATAGAATCAAAAAGACTCAGGGCCAAAGAGACCTTCTGAATAACAGAGACAAGAACACTGGGAAAAACCCTTCAACAAAAATAAAAAAAAACTACAATGAACATTCTGTGATCTGCATACAATTAATAGATGGCATCGTGACTTTCAACTCCCAGCACCCTTTTTGATCATACCAGCCAAAATGGTTAAGAAATTATTTTTCTAATCTAATACAATAATAAATGCTTTCAGTTTATAAAGTCAGCATACACCTACTCCAGCTTTTAAACTGTGTACAGCCCCTGCCATGAATGTGGAAAGAGCCCACCCTACTGTTTCCAGTTTGATTTCAATAGGCCCACACAGGTGACCGGACTAAATGTGCAAAGACTGTATAGCAAAGTAGAAACATATGAGTTTTATAAAGCATGTGCACTGCTGGCCAAGGATTAGGACATGGTATGGAAGGGCTCACATGATACACAGGGTCAGACTATCTATTGCCCAGTTTTGCATATGCCTTTCCTGTGGGGCCACTGTGCCTCTCAGGAGCTGGCCCTCCACAGTTTGAGTGGGATTTTCAGAAGTACTTGAACAGGCCATCATGGAACATTCATGAAACTCCCACTCAATCTCATAAGGGTCAATCCTGCCATTCCCATCTCCCTCTGAGCTGGCATAGAAGCCCCCCCCCCCCCCCAAAAAAAAAGCAGTGGTGAGGGGAAAAACACAGGCACGAAAGAGTGTTTCCACACCACCTGCATATTGTATGTGCTGTGGGAGAGGTGGTGTAGCCATTCCACTACACTAATTCACTGGCCAAAGCCTCTGCATAGAAGTGCAGAGTACAATGTAGTTTCTATTGCATCCCATCATAACAGAATGGCTCTTGGCTTTAGGATGGAACAAAGGTGCAGGACTAGCTCTCCCACTCTGTCCTGCTTTTGTTTCCTTCTGGGTGCAGAAGTGGGTAGGAAAGGCTCACACTTCTCCCGCCCATGT